GCTGCATTTACATAGTAATGTTTTCAGTTTAACTTGGGAATGTTATTTTAAATCGTATACATGCTGCATATAAAAGTGTCCAAATGAATTATCGTATGTGTTTACTGTTTCTCAGTGTTGGTTTATGTGGCTATTTGAAACTTCAGTTTGCCAATCACTGCCTCCATTCTAACATGCTGTCAGCAGGGTTCCCGAACAGGGAATATGTGTTCCTCTGAGGCCTCTAGTAACAAATGCCCATATTTTAAGGTTATTCCAAATTCCATATTAACCCAAGCTATTTATTTTAGTAAGTATCCAGGTTAGTGGTTTTCATTTGTGGTATTTTATTTCTTGGGCTTAGAGACAGCATATCACCCCCGGTAGGCCTGGGTGGTTTGTAATACACGTGGAAAGCCATTAGTCATTTGCATAGGAGCAGAAAAGACATTGAATATGGCTGATCTGGTGACTCAAAATGTAGTGGGTAAACATTTTGCAATTTACTCAGATGCATAAACTGGGACAGTTATTTTCTACAACAACTTCATTTTTAACTTCATGAGATTTATTGGAAAATGATTGAAAATTTCTCCTTTCCCTTCAGAATTTCACTTTGGATGATATAATATTAGTCTTCCCACAACCATCGTTTAGTTTTTCATATATTTGTTCTCCTAGAAGAGACTCAGGAACTGCTTTAATAAGGCATATGACTAGGACATATGCTAATTCAACTAAAAATTTTTAGACCTGAGTTACTCAAACCTCAGGGCTGATGCAAAAAATACATTTAAATTGTAAGTAAGAATGTTAAGCAATTTCCCGGGAGGTCACTTTCCTGCAAGTGAATCATTTGCATTTATTTAGTGATTTATCTCAAATATCTTCAGTTTTATAAGTTAGATATGAATTTCTACCTATAGCAGCAATAAAATGGCACCTTAAAATAGCTCTGTCTTCAGAAATCATACTCTGATATCTACTTTAGAAAACAATAAACCAACCAATAAAATAACAAATTGTTCCCTAACCTCTGTTTCCTCCTCAGTTATTACTCCATTTCTCTGCTTGTTTTCCCAACAAAATTTCTGAAATGAACTATTTTTTCCTGCTTCTATTTCTTTACTGCCCACAAGTTCCCAAACGAATTTTAATTCTTCTTCCATTCCTACCACTAACTGCAACTATTCTTGTCAAATTCACTAGAACCCCCTTGTTGTAAATCCAGTGGTCACCTCTCTGTTATCTTGCTCAGCCTCTCACAGACCAGTACCCTCTATGCTATACTAGTACAATCTCCTCTCTTGACTCTTTTGGCTTCTCCCTAACTTCTAGCTTTTCCTTCTCAGTCTGCTTTGCTGCTCTCTTTCCCTTCTCTGCTCACACTGTTCATATTATAGTGCCCGAGTCTGACCCAAAGTCTCATTTCGTCACTAACTCTATTTTCCCCTAGAAAATCTGTCTCTCCATGCCCCTTGGCCTTAAGTACCTTTTATATGTCAATGACACTTGAAGTTTTATCTATATACCTGATCTTTCCATTAAGTTCCAAACCCATTTATCTAACTTCCTCTATGATCTCTTTACCTGGATTTCTAATAGGAATCATAAACCCAGCATGGCTAAAACATAAATCTTAGTTTCTCTTCAAACCTGCTCCTATTCTAGTCTTCATGTATGTCAGGAACTCATATCAAGATATATTCACTTGTTTAAGCATTTACCAAGAAGTCATTCTTGGTTCTGCTCTTTTTTCATTGCCTTCCCCCTCATTTGCTTCATGAGTAAATCCTGTTAATTTTACTTTCAAATATATGTCATATTTCTTTTTATTGCCACTGTTTCCATTATAGTCCCAACTGATATCATTTTTACATTGATTATTTTAACATTTCAACAGCCTACTAAATATTCTCCTCCTCCCTTTGTGCTCCTTTCACCTTTTGCCTCCATTCTCCTCATCTATTTTCCTCAGTGGAGCCAAATAAAGATAAATCAAACCATGTTATGGACCTATTTATCACTTTCATTATACTTATTATAACTTCCCCTTGTAGCTCCCCATAGCTTGTATAAGACTCTACACGATACCCCTAGGAATCACCTTGTACCAGCCTCTATCTCATTCTCTATGCCTTGGCTCTGCTCTTCTAATTCTTGCTCCTGGACTACATCAGGCTTCCTCCATTTTGTAATTGCTTCCCCTATTCCTAGAATGCTTTCTTCCTCATATCTTATTACAACGTGCTCTTTCTTTTCAATTTGGGTTTCAGCTCAGATATAGCCTCAGTAAACTTTTCCCCTGATTACTCAATGAAAGTGTTTCTCACTCTCCACCACATCACCCTCATTTACTAGTTTTTTCCTCTGAACATTTATATCTGGTTTACCTTGTTCATTTATTCACTAGAATATAAACTCCATGTGGGTAGGTTATTTTTGGTTTATTTTGTTTACTGCTATAGCCTCAGGACAAAGAACATACCTAAATAGGTGCATAATAGATACTTGTGTAATGACTGGATTTATTTGTTTATTCCTGTATTTTTATGATTCTCTCTGTACTCTACAGACATATGCTTCATGGTTGCAGAAACTTTGTTTGTCTTGTTCATTGTTGTGTATGCAATGTCTAGAAAAGTATCTCATCCACAATAGTTTCTCTATCAATATTTATTAAATGAATAAAACAGCATGCTTAAGATACCTAGTATCTTTGAAAAAAAAATGTATGTGCCTACTCCCATTCAGGAAAGATGGTTCAGCATAATTTGTCTTTTTTTTTTTTTTTAAATGAAGAAACTCTTCTTGCTGAGGAAATGTTTTATTCTTTCAATTTCTCACAAACATGGTAGGCTCAGAACAGCAAGCTGTGCCTATCAACTTCCTTAGGCAATAGTCTCATTCAGGTCAAAGAGTGAGGACACTTACAAAGTGAACAGAACTGTGAGATGAGCAGTGAGAACTGCTGCTCTTTGACACCAGAGTGTCTCAGGCACATTTTATTCATGGAGCCTGCCTACTTACCCACACATATTTACTGAAGTGAATTTTTAGAAAACTGGGGGGTGTGGGGGGAAACAGAATCCTAAATCTGTTCAGAGAGAATAAAAAGGTCATAAAAGAGAATGATACAAAATGGCATCACACTTCTTAACAGCAACACTGGGAATTAGGAATGATGTTTTCAAAATACTGAGGGATACATTCTTTGCATTAAGAAAATCAGTAAAAATAGTATAAGAACTATTTCTCTTATAATATCCCATCATAAATAAAATCTGAAACACTGAAAATGCTGAAGAAATTTCAACTTATAATTTTATATCCAGTCAAAATATCAACCAAATGTGAAGGTAGAATAAAAATATTTTCAAACATTAAAAAAAAACCACCTCAAACATCCTTTACTATGAAGGTTTTGGAGAATGTATCAAAGAAAAAAAAATTAAAAGGAATGAACCAAAAAATGAAGATATGTGAGATACAAAATGCAATATAGTTAACAACGTAAGTTAAGCAAAAAAGTCCTAGAATAACATTTGCAAGAGCAATGAGTGCAAATGGGGCAAAGAATAGAAGCTAAGGAATAGGGAATCTGTAGAAAAAAGAGAAAAACAATGATACTAGATATGTTTGGTGCATTTAGGGAAAATTATAAACAAATATTTGTAAAACCTATTGGAAAACTCAAGAAAACTGATAAAAAACAAATGAGAAATTGAGACAAATTTTAACTAAATGAGTTGTACCATAGAGGAATTGTGTTCATAGCATTTATTTTGGCTATTGAATGATATATTCACAAGGTTGTAATCATCTATGTACTGACTATCATCTTAATCCCATATTGTAACATAAATGTACTAGGGAGGTGAGCGTGCTAGTATACTACCACAAAAGGAAGTACAATAAATAGATAATGTCTACTATTGACAAATCAAGGTTATAAGCATGTTATTTAGAAATTGCTAACATGGAGTTGGATTGGAAGGTGGGGATACAGCATAGTATTGCTGTGTTGTTGTTTTTTTTGGGGGGGATGCAGCTGATGAAGGAAAAAGACCTTTGTAACACTCTTGACTTTTTAGATATGTGCAGGTAGTAGTTCTATAAAAAGCGTTGATTTTAAAAGAAAATGACTTAATTATTAGTTAATGTGTGCAATTTAGTTTGTCAACTAACAAGATCAATGATAGCAATAATACTTCTATTTCAACATTAAGAATTTCATTGTGGTGGGAATGATAATATAAAGAGGTGTTATAAAGGTAGAGAATCGCTGATTTAGATCCACTGTGTTTGATATTTTGTTTCATAAATTTTTATAACTGCAAATTTCCATTAAGGATCTCTGTGTGAGAAGTTAGAAGCTGTGTTTTTTTCTAAAGAAGTCATTGAGCTCCCCAGGACACCACAAACCAAATCAAGCTCATCCTTCTACCAGGTTTTCTGAATCCACTTGATGTTTTTGCCCATACAATTAAAAAGGCCAACTACTTTTGGAAATTAGGAAAGAATTTGGAAAATGAAGTTATTATTAGGTGCTTGTTATTTTTGTCCCATTTATTTCTCCAAAGATTTGAGGTATTAAGCTAGAGGTGAGTATTAACAAATTCATGTTGCATCTAAGCCTATGTTAATATTATAATAGCTGTCACTTATATAAGACTGACCATGTGCTTGGGAAGGTTTGAAGCACTTCACATATATTATTTCATGTAAGTCCCACTAGGTGTCAGGTACTATGATCCACACGGTTTCCTTTTTCATAGTTGAGGAAAAACAGAAGCACAGAGAAATTATGTAACTTGGAGAAGATTATCCAATTAATAATTGGCAGAACCTGAATTTTTATATCTGGCAATTAGGCTCCAGAGTCTATATATTCTAATATAGTATATTAGTATATCCTGATACACTTATTAGAATATAGTGGTGATAATGCTTTAGAGATTATAGATGGCCCAGAGGGAGAAAATCTTAAATTTTAATAAACCTAACAAGCTTACATCATCTGTTCAAAGAAAGGCAGACAAGTCGGGGAAGACAAGAATGAAAAGAAATGATGTCTCAGCTTCAGAGTTTGGGTATGGCCTCCAGATGCATGGGGAGCACTGTGACTCCACAGCACAGAGGTAGATGACAGAGTCTCCGAGCTGGGCAGCTGAGATGTGAAGGGAGCTGTGACTCTCCTCTGTGTTTATTGTGGCACTCATTCTTCCTTTCTTCTTCATCTCTAAGCTCAGTATAAACAAGGAGATGATGCTTCCTCCGGGATTCTGCTGCATCCAGTGTAAGGTGGTCATTCCTATGGAGTAACTGCAATTGATTGTGATGACTTCTCCTTCCTGGGCACTCAGGTGTTGGGGACTCTGTTCCACTCCATTTTTGCCATTTGCCCCTATTCTCAAAGACATGGTCAAGCACAGAATATTACCATTATTGCAACATTTCTACAAATTTCTTTCCTTTGCACATTTCCCAGAGTACACTAAAGTTTAGCTACTTGGGAGTCCCTTACCTCCTGCCTCTGAATCTTGAAAACATATTCCTTTAGTCTTCTTATTCCCATAATAAGAAAACCCCCAACTTACAGCTTAACCGAAGCCACAGAATAGCCATCAAAATTTGCCAAGTCTTCGTCATTGTTATTGTAGCTGAGGCTCACACAGCTCTCTGTGAGAGGATTTGAAATATACGTTAGCTTGTCAAAGGAGTCTTTTATTATTATAACTCCTCGGTGTTTACTTTACAAATCAAACGGGATTTCCAGCCCATCAGAGGCAGCACAAATGCACAACTTTGCATTTTTTTTTTTTAATGCATTTATTATAGGGCTGCCTGCACAGGGAACTGGCTTGATCTTTTGAATAAAATGCCCACATTGCCACCTAGTGTCAAGAAACAGAACGATTCGTTATCTAGGTCAAATACTCTGATGAAAAAAAAACAAAACAAGATAAATCTGGAATCAAAGGTAGCAACTAGCGGTCCTGGGAGTGGGGGTTAAGTGGGGAATAGAAGTCCCATGATTCTTAGGCTTCAGCCGGTTATGCTAGATCAAGCAGAGCTGGCGACAACCTGTGCATTCCACACCACATCTTTTTGAAAATCTAAGGGCATTTCTGTTCTCTGCTTTAAAAAGGGCATTTCTTCTAAATATCTCTGGTTTCTTCATATGACACCCCTGTTTCTCCACATGGTATTAATTCAGACTCCTCCCCTAGTCTTATCTTTCTTTTCTGGACTTGTTACATTTGTCCATAGCTCTTCAAACATGTTTCAAATGTTACTTAATTCTTCTGGTTTCCACTCACCTATGACTGTTATCTGTGACTGTTTCAGTGATTTCATCATGTTGTTGAATTATTTTGAGCTTGCAGTCATTTTCCACTTTTGGGACTCCTTTAGAGCCCATATGCCCGCCACATAAGAGGTGAATGCAGAGGTCATGTTTGCACCAAATGGCCTCCTTTCCCTGGCTGTAATTGGGTCTGGGTAAATATTGTGCTTATTTAATTTGGACGAGGGGGTATAAAAACAGTAGTTGGACAGTATTTGTCACTAGAGCTACAAAACCTTGTGGGGTCTGAACCATGGTCATTTCTTGGCAAATGAAAGCAGCATATGTTCAAACGCGAGTTATTGTGGAATAGAAATAAATAGGCTTACAGTGAAATCTGGTCCCCAAGAGGAGAACTGGTTATATGTTCAGAGAAAAATAGGTCCAGAAAAAAATAGGCAGTTGAGATTTTCTTTTGCTTGGGAGGTCTGCTGTATTCGTTGCAGATGGATTTATGTGACTCATCTATATCCTTCCAGCAAATCTCTTTTTCCTTGAATGAGTTACACGCCAGAACATTTTTCACAAAACACACACACACACACACACACACACCTATAAGTCCACAGTTCTTTGTTCTATATCTCACAAATGATTTGTAATACAATGTGCAAAAATACATAGACATCCTCACTAAACTTTATTTTGGCTATTTTAGTCTGTCCAATATGCTTAAAGATATTAGCTACCTGTCTCAACATTGTGCTATGGGCATATCTTATGTGAACAGGTCAGGATGAAGGGTAAAATTGTGTGATAAGCAGTAGAAACAGTTTTCTAAATTGAATTTTTGTATATGGATATTTTTCAGCTGAGGAGCCATGGCTGTAGCATTATGCAGAAGAATAAAGTGAAAAGTGACTATGGTTTGGAGCCAAACAGACAAGTCTGAGTCATAGTTCTGCCACTTCATAGATACTGGGTTTTGAGAAGCTACCACAACGCTCCAATTCTCAATTTACTGTAAATGGTGATAATGCTTATCAAACTTGTGGTTTTGTGGTGAGGATTACAGATAACTTTGCAAGTTACCCAAGTATAGTGGTAAAGAGTGCAGGTTTTGGGCTTATCTACCTGTACTTATATGCCAGCACTCCTCTTAGGGACTCTGTACTCTTGTTCACTTCTCTGTACCTCAGTTTCCTTGGGGCTAATACTTGGACTTACTTATGAGATTGTGGTGATGATTAAATAGATTAGTTTATTGTATGCACTTAGAACAATACTTTGTATATACAGGGTAGAGCAAAAGTAAGTTTACAATTATGAGTATGCCAGAGGTTTATTCTTGTATTATTATTTATTAACAATATTTGTGCATGGGAGGAGTCCCTTCAGCCCAGCCTGCACCCTTTCCAATTCGGGACTGCTCCTAACTGCTCACCTGCCTGCCTGGTTGTTTGCTCCTTACTGCCCCCAATTGCCCTCCCATGCTGGCCTGATCTTGCCCCCAACTGCCTCCCCCACCCTCTGCCAGTCTGGTCACCCCATGCAGCCTGTATTCAGTTGACCATTTTGTTGTTTAGGTCATGACAGCCCCTGCTTTTTATATATTATGATTATTGTATTATTTTTCATACAAACAACTGTAAACCCACTTTTGCACCATTCTCTGTGCTAAGCACTTGATAAATATTGGTTGTTATTATTATTGATAGCACAACAGTTCCTGTGATATTATATCACTCAATGAATATGTGATATTATTACTTTATTATTTTCTTAATGATATAATAAAAAATAAAATAGTCAAATGTCTTATAAACATTTGAGATCATTTAAATCAATATAAGTGCCTTGAATTTAGCAATCCTATTTTTAAAATACCTTTAGAAAACTCATTATAGTTCATACTGATCACTTATTTTCTAAGAGAACACACATTATCTGTTAACAATATGTTCTAAAGTTTTGTTGGATATTCATCTATGTATTTCTTTTTTGTAGGTTTGGGATTTTCTTCATTCCCTTAGGTTTTCAAAAATTTTGCCCAGTGCCTCTCAAATCATGCCTTTTTGTATTTTGGAAATGAATTTAAATGATCCAGCAGAAGACTTGATTATATTGAAAAATGTCTAATACTTCTCTTGGTATCTCTTTACTTATAATTTTCAACTCCTTCATTTTTTCCTCCAATTTGAAATATCATTCTGCTTGATATGAGAATAGAGAATGAAAACAGGAGTTCATACACTCTACCTTTTCTCTGTTATCTGTCAACATTATTCCATTTTGTTTAATATGTAAATCAACCTTCTCCTCTGTCCCTACCCTTCTCTTCTCTTCAAACTTCTAAAAGTCCATTATGATGCACTTCCTATTTTCTGCAAGCTTTAACTTCATTCTGGGTTTTTAGTTTTTAATGCTTTCCTTAAAGGCTCATGCTATCTTTGCTAATCCCTTTTGTCTATGAATCAGTTCAAATTTTTATCATTTTTAGTAAGAATCAGAGTTAGTATAATTTCCTGTGCTGCTAGATTTACTTAGATGACCTCATCTTTCTATATTCTTATTGGAATTGTTTACAATGGAATAGCAAGAATTTAATTTGCCTTAGAACTTCTGATTCAATTAACTACAATCATATTTAAACTAGTGGCCTGGTGTACGAAATTTATGCATGGGGGTGGTGGTGGTTTACTCAGTCCAGCCTGCACTCTCTCCAATTGGGGACATCCCTCTCACAATCTGGGACCACTGGCTCCTAACCGCTCACTGGCCTGCCAACCTGATCACCCCTAACTACCTTTGCATGCCTGACCACCCCTAACTGCCCTCCCCTTGTCTTGCCCCCAATGGTCTGCCCCTACCAGCCTGATTTTGCCCCCAATGGCCCTCCCTTGCAGGCCTGATCACCCCTAACTGCCTCTGCCTCAGCCCCCACCACCATGACTTTATCCAGAAGGAAGTTGGACATCTGGAAGATGGCCAGTCGACCCTATCTAATTAGCGTACTACCCTTTTAGCAATAAAGATAGATTATATAGGATAGGATTGCTTAAATGGGGGAGGGGGAGAAGCCTTTTTCATCAGGAGGAAGATGTTCTTGGCAGACAAAAATATGTAATATCTATATCTGGACTGATAGCTAGCCATATGCACTATATTGCCAAACTGGTCATTAAAAAATTGAACTGCTTTCTTACACATTACACCAAACAACTGTTATCCTTAAAACCCTCACCAGTTTACACCTTAGGTTCTGCCTTAGCAGTTCACACAGATTAGCTTCTGATTGATCAGTTTCTATGCCAGTCAGTGTCTCTGGTCTTATCTCTGGGCCTGATCAGAGAGGTGGGGCTGATCAGTGGCCGCACCAGGCTGCTAGCAAGCGGGCTGAACTGCCGACCTCTCAGAGAGAAAGAGAGGCTTGGCTGCTGGCAATGCCTGAAGAGAGAGGCAAGGACTAATCAGCCCTTGCCTTTCTCTCTCTCCAAGAGGTCAGCAGTTCAGCCTGCTTGCCAGTCCCCGCCTACCCAAGCCTGCTGCACATACAGCCTGGTTTTCAGTTGTTCTTTCAGTCATTTTGGACATCACAGACCCTGGCTCTTTATATATATAGATATCACAAAACATGAAATTTACTATTTGAAGCAATTTAAAATGTATAATTCACTAGCTTGCAGTACATTCACATTGTTGTGCAACAATCATCACTGTCTAGTTCCACAATATTTTTCATCATTCCCCAAAGAAACCCTATCCTGTTAAGCAACACACTCCTGCTTCCTGGCCCATGGCAATCACTTATCTTCATTTTGACTCTATAAATTTGTCTATTCTGGGAGATTTTCATAAGTGGGATATGTACAATAATATGGGCATGTTGTGTCTGGCTTCTTTCACTTAGCATGCTTCAAGATTCATCCATGTTGTAACGTGTATCAGTATTTCATTCCTTTTTATGACTGAACTAGAGGCCCGATGCACGAAATTCATTTAAGAATAGGCCTTCCTTGCCCTGGCTGCCAGCACCAGCTTCCCTCTGGCACCCAGGACCTGGGCTTCCCTTGCAGTCCCAGCTATGCCTGGAAGGTTGTCTGGAAGGATGTGTAGTCTAATTAGCATATTATGCTTTAATTATTATAGATAATATTTCATTCTATGACCATACTGCATTTTGTTTATTCGTTTAGGTTTATGACCCACTTTTAGTTATTGTGTGTGTGTGTGTGTGTGTGTGTGTGTGTGTGTGTGTGATTTGAGGTAGGAGCCCAAATTAAATCTTTTGAATGTAAATATTCAGTTGTCCCAGCACCATTTGTGTCTTGGCTATGAATCCAAACTTTCAAAAGCACAATTCTAAAGATGCTATTGTTTTGCCTTAAAGTCATTTTAAAACATTCATTGTTTTTAGGATAAATACTGAAATTCCTAAAATGACTTATAAAGTCTTACATTATCTGACCTGTAACCTCTCTA